CGAGATTCTTCTTCATTTCAGAACTCACGCGTACGAGTATGAGTGATCCAATGTTAACTATTTATACGCAGATCTTCCAAGAGTAATTATCGAAAGTATGAAAATGGAGTAACGTCGTAGAAGCCTTTGTCTTGCAAAAAAAATTTTTGTTTTACTGCAAAAATGAAGAGACAATGGTATTTGACATATTTCTACAACAAAGCACGTACGTAAGTGCACACTAGCAGGTATCATTAACAAAGTTAGCCACGGAAGTTTTCAGTAGGCAAGATATAACGTATGAATTATAAACGACTAGCAGCCCTCCGTCTCGGCCTGCGTCGAGATTTACTAAATAAAACACTGCAGTGTGTTGACATGTAATGTTGAACATTTTTAGTTAGTAATTTGACACATAATCCTGACACACATGAGAACAAAAATCTTCTTATTTAAAACATATTTTTTCGGAATCTATATGGTTTATTTTGTCAAATAATAAGGTGTTAAAATCTAAAAAAATAATTATGCTGAAAAGTACCGTGCGTTCTTTATGCCATAAAATAATCGGCGGCCATAAGAAGCCGTAGATTCACAGTTTCTTCCGTGTAATTTACGAAAAGGAATATTTTTAAGCTGTTAAGATTTTAAACCCTTAAAATATTTATATTAAAAAAAATTTTTTTTCCTCATATCTCACAACTTTATTACCAGAGCAACAAAGTCCTGGACCTTAAACCCTACATTTTTATTGCCACAAAAACACAAATACATTTTCTACTTATTTAAAAATCTGAAGTAGGATCTTCAAAGATTTCAGAGATTACTGTGAGGGTACAATGAAGAGCTGATTTCTCACGTAATGGACTCTTTAGTTGTCGATTTTAACGCTGCTGTTCCAATCTCGATAAATTTTCTGCGTCAGTTTCGTGACGCCTAAGTAAAATTGTATTTATTAGATACACTTGAAGTTTTTCTTCCAATTCACCCTCTTGCGACTTTTGGCATGCTTAAAATTTGTGTGATCCATAAAGGCTGTTTTCTGTCAACTTTGTTAAGTTCTAATATATTTGTTAGCACAGTAGTTCGACGTCCGATGGCCCTAAAAAAGACCGGTGAGCTTCTTAA